CGCGCACACACACACACACACACACACACACACACACACACACACACACACAAAGTTTCACCTCTATTACTTTCTTACACTATAATTTGTTAAAGGATAGTTGGTTTAAAGAATAATTCTCTTAATTAGTTCTCTCAATCCAATAAAACATAAATATGTGATGGGGAAAAAACTGAGTAGCAATTTCTTTGTTTTAGGTTTAGGCAAATCGTAGTGTTAAAGGATCGAGTTAGAGACTATTGGAAAAGTGTCCAAGACAATAACTTGAATAAGTAAATTTAGTGAAGCTGGGAATGTGAAAACTTAAGTTTTTTCTTGCAGCTATAAAACTAAAAGAATATTTATTCCAAATTTTTATTAGTGTACTTAAGATCTTTGCTAAACATTATCCGTTTGGGTAATAATATTCATCATTGAAGAATCAACTGCTAATAAAGTTAAAAACACTTAACATATAACAACATAAAATTTGTTTGTAAAATGACAGATTATGAGGTTAATAACGATTGAGTGGGGAGGTAAACCACATTTTGAGTATTGTTTTCAGTCTTGGGCTCCTTACCTTAGGAAAAACATTGAATTGTTGGAAAGGATTCAGAAAAAGATTTCCAGAATGGGATGGAGGGTTTATTATGACCTTCCTCGTGTCATCCTGTATCACTGTCAAGTTTGGTGCTGATTGATCAAGAAATATAACATCTTCCTTATAATGGTAGCATGTTGGAATTTAAGAAAAATGGTCAAACTTGAGAACAAGTTGAGATAGTAGGAAACTTTGCACCTAGGCCTATATTTTTGAGGGTGAAGAATTGTTTGGTGTATGATTTATGTTGGCTACTGGAAACAATGTGGGGAAGAGGTTGAACTCCATGAGCGCCTTTCTAGTTTACTAATTATGCTTCTATCATAATTACTAATGTAAATGAAAGAAGCATAAAGGCCCAAACTGACCTCTTAGTAACAAGGACTGAACTCCATTAATAACAACCTTTTGCTTTATTGTAATCCAACCACCCTACATTCCAGTTAACTAGTCTTTCCTCAACCCCCACTGATTTGATTTTCTTAGCTAATCTGTATGGCAACTTATTAAAAGATTTTTGAAAATTGAAATATACTAAGTTTACACCATTTCCATAAGATAATTAATATTCTTGAGAAAAGGCAAGATTTAACCTTTAGTAAATCAATATTGGCTTTCTTTGATACCATACTTTACTAAATGGTTGTGCAAAGCTTCGTATAATTGACTCTAGAATTTTTCCATCTACATATGTAAATGTAACTAGCCTATGATTTCCAGGATAATCTTGATAACCACCTTAAAAATAAGAATAACAAGTAGGAACTGTCCAATTCTTGAGCACTTACCTGCTCTGTTTACATACCAAAAGTAAAAGAGGCTTGCACATCTCCTTTGTAACCTTGAGGGAAACCTGTGTTGGTGCTGTATCTGTTTCTAATTTCTCAATCCCAAGGTATGAATATATACATGATTCAGATCAATTCCAATATTTCTATTTGAATGCTCTAGGTCAGAAAACTTTCCATTCAGTCAGGATAGCTAAAAAGAAATGTATTCCCTTTAAAGATATTGTATTATGAGCAGAAGCATATTACAAAATAGATGTTTAAGAAAATTAACTGTTAATAGATAAATCCCAGGTTTACAAGATGATGATGTTGAGGCTTATCAAAATAAAAGAAGTTAAGGATATTTTCAAAACTAAGGAACTATCAAGGTATTTTTGGTCAGCACCCATTTGGCATGAATAATTTTGTTAACTGCAAAAGATAATATTTGTCCTTTAAGAGTTTTCAGTGAGAACCTTAGGAGCAATGTCTTGGAAAGTAAAGTCCCTAACCATGTTGAAAGTTAGACATCAAACAATCCTAATATGGAGATGGCACAGTCTTTGTTATCTATGCAAAGTTGTTTGATTATAGAATTTTCTGATGATTGAAAGTTTCAAGTAATGCACAATAAAAATAAGAAATAATTTTGATGTTAGGAAGATGTTGGAATATATTTTCAAGTGGCATGTAGAAAAGCATTTGGAGAGTTGGCAATTAATTTATAACATTAATTCAGAAAATAAATTTTCATGTCAGCATTTGTTTTTAAAAACACCCTGTATAATAATGTGTATTTTGGCTTTCAAAAAGCTTTTGATGAAGCTACACAAGAGGTTAATGACTAGTTAGATTCCACTGGAATTTATATAAAAGTACAAAAGTTGATAGAAAAGTGACTTAGTTGTAGACAGCAAAGAATATGTAAATTTTTCTAACTGAGCAAAATTTGCCTAATAGGGCCCTTTATAAGTCTGTTTTTGGTTTATAGCTGGTTTTATATATTGGTGACTTAAACAGCTTTTTGAACTAACTTCTTTTTTATTCATTGTTGATACCAAAGTGATTGATTATCCAGAAATAACTTGACAGTCTTAGTGAATAGGTCAGAACATGGAAGAGTAATGATAAATACAGAGTTATATACTAGGACTATAGAAACTTTGGAAGGGACACAAGTTCTTGAATTAGAAAAGCATTATTTTTGTGAAAAAAAAACAAAAACGGTTAAATATGATTGTTCATAAAACAAAAAATCTCTGCTGCAGTGACAAGATGGTTCAGTATATAGGAAATTTGAATTTAAGAATAAGGATATTGTAGCTTCATACATTACTCTGATTCTTGAGTGACTGTTCTGTAGGTCATGAGGAGAGACAATTACAATAAGTAATTATGGATAAACTAAGACATGCCTAAATTTCAACTGTTATATTTTATTTTATGCTACATTTTGAGCAAATGATCTCCACCAGGCAGCTTATACTGTGTTCCAGAGAAAGTAGCCAAATTTCTATGTAACACAGTATATACTACCTGACAAAGGGTGTGTGCCTGAAATGTCATATAAAATTGAATAAAGTTTTCATTTGATGTGTGTTAATGTATTCTTTATTACTCTATTAAGACTTGTGTATTGTGCACAGATATGGCCTCTTTACTATAGTTGGAAATGAAAGTTTGAATTATAGGAGTAATTAGCTTATGCTTAGAAGCCCAGATGTAGATTGTTATTGAATAAAATTATTTCTTCACTTGAATCAGAAACTTCTTGAGTAGTTAGCACGAGTGTTATATATGTGTTTATTTGTATTGTTTAAATTTTTTTAAATGTTTGACATGTACAGTATGTGAATGTGAAAGGCTACCATCAGTTTTTATTTTGCCAAGCTAGTTAGGATAAGAAATGATCTCAAAAAGGTCGATTGAAATAATCATCTTTATCATTCCTGTTTTCTTCATTTTGACAGAGATAATTCCAAAATGAATACTCGTCTCCATACACAGATAGCTATTTTCCTTTTAAAGTCATACATTTCTGTCCGAGACTTCCATACTACCAGTCTTGTAGAAACTCCAACCTAATTCCACATGTCCATGTGAATTTGCACTACCAAATTATGATAAATCATGCAGCAAAACCCTCCATCAATAAGAATGTGATACACCTCCTTTCACAAATCCTCTCACTACATTCATACGCTAGAGTCCTCATTCTTTTCTTTGGCAATGTTGTGTAAAGGGATTTTAGTATTCGCTGCAACTTGTCAAATAACTTTTTTCTTAACTTTGATTGTTTTTAAATATAATTATTATGAATTCACAATTAAATTGGAATTTTCTACACCTGATGTGAGTGTAAATATCAGTCACACTGATCAAATTGCCAACAATTCTGGAAGTCCTTTATCTGTGGAAGATGTGACAGCAGTTATCTAACATGATGGGTTTCATGATTCCATCAGAACCCTCTACTTCTGTTTCTACCACACATTTCCTTTCCCTTGTCTTTGATACTAATGCTGAGGAGGATAATTTTGTTTTGACTTTCCAACTCCAGGCTTTGCTTTGGATACCTCCATGTCTTCTGAAGAACAAACTCAATCTTCTTCAGATTTCCAGAACCTCATAACTGAGGTATATACTATTTTCTCTGACCCCCTATAACCTGTAATGATTCCTGTTCTCTCTTACATAACCCTTGCAATTTCTCTGTTTTTCCCATTCCCCTGATATTTCTGTCCATGCCAACTCATTTCCAGATCAACTTCCTCCACATAACCTCATGCTTATCCTCCCTACCTGACTGATTTCTTACTCCCTTTCTTAGTTACTCTCTGTTCTTCACCTGATGATGGGAGTGTTTCAATGTTCCCATGATTAATTTTTGGGGGACTCTAGAGTGCTCCTCTTCTCTTCTGTTGCCCATTTCTCTTCTTTCTTGATTCCTTTGAGGTTGGGACTTTTTGGGAAGGGATACCCTTATTTCCCATGTTCATTTACCTTCCTCTGAGACCTTCGTTTTATCCCCTTACTCCATTAACAAGTCTGGTGGGGACCCTGATTCTTTCAAATCATGGGCTGAAGCTGCTGCCTTCAATCTTCTCTTTCCTCATTAGTCTCACATTTGTCCCAATTATGCTCTTCCACAGCTGTCCCTTGACCTAACCTCATTCTATCCCAGTATCCTGCCCTTTAACCTCCTCCTACCCTTCCATCTGGTTGATTTGGGACCTGTAGGAGCCCATCTGTCCCCGTTTGTACATTTATGGACACATTTTGCTACTGATAGATGGGTCATTCATGTCCTTACCCACAGTCTACTTCACTTCTCTTCCCCACTTCCTCTTTGCTCCCAACACATTACCTTTCATCTCCCTTTAGATTCAGCATACCTTCAACATTTGGTTCACAACCTCTCTCTACTCTTCATTGTCCCCAAAAAGACTGGGGACTGGCACCCCAATCATCGACCTATCCTCCATCAATTAATTTTTGGTCATCCCTTATTATCAGATGGAGAATTATTTCTCTATCTGGTGGTCTTTCTAACCTGAGCAAAGGATGATCAAGGTAGATGTGTTGAATATTTTTTTCTTTCATCCACTGGAAATGTGTCTTCCAATTCCATGCCCTTCCATTTAGAATAGTGTCAGCCTTTTACATTTTTAGTTGCATTGTGTGGGCCTTCAATCATCATCCGCATGGTCTGAGATTAAGGTTCCACTTCTACATGAATGACTGGCTTTTCTTCTTCCAGGAGGAATCCTCAGATCATTTTATCCTACTTCTTCATGAAGCCACTAATTTATGGTGGCTTGTCAAAATTTCCAAATCGTTCCTTACCCTGATACAATATCTCATCCACCTGGAATCCTTTTCAAATCTCACCTCAGCCATGTCTAGCCTTCACCACTCTGTTTACAAGACCTTGAGTATCTGGTCACCAAAGTCTGCACCTCTCCTTTGGTGTAGGAGGTTTTATCTCTTCTGGGTACTATGGCAACTCAGGAGTCTCTCATTCCACTTGATTATGCAGATGTGTCCCCTACAGTGGGTATTGCTCAACCAGTGGATCCTCTGTCCTCACAGATCATCCTTCCTGACCCTCTTGTGGGGGGTTTTGCTTGGTGGCCTAGACCACTCCAACACCATCCCTGGCATTCTCTTGCCTCTTCCCATGGTATACCTTCACTTATTCACAGTAGCTTCTCTCAATAGGTGGGGAACATCCATGAATAACTCTCTTACTTCAGGTTCTTGGACCTAGAAAAATCATTATCTTCAAATCAACATCCTAGAACTTCTCTCTGTTGTACAGACATGCTCCCATGTCCTTTCCCAATTGGTGGATCATTTGGTTATGGTTCACTAAGACAACTCCATGGTTGTCACACATCAACCTTCAAGGGGACACCTGTTCCAGGACCCTCTGCTTCCAGACTATGAACCACCTTTATTGGGCCCATTCCAATCAAGTGAACTTAATTGCCTGTCATGTTCTGGACACTTAACATCGCAGAAGGCTGTCTTTCTCAACAGGGCTCTGTCCTATCCACGAAATGGTCTCTTCACCCTCTAATACTCCTCTAATAGATGCATTTGCCTCTCCTCTCAGTGCTAAACTTTTTCTTTCCTGGTCCCTCATCCATCAGCCCTGGATAGTAGATGCTCTCAGTCAGGACTGGTCTCATCTCTTCCTCTGTGCCTATCTCCCTTTTCACCTTCTCCCTCATTTACTTGCTCTGGTTCAGGAGACCCCTTGCAAAGTTTTGTTGCTGGCCCTCTACTGACCTACTCAGCCATGGTTTCTAGTACTTTGTCTTCTCTCAATTAAGTCCCCCTTCCACTTCCCATCATTGTAGCCCTTCTAGTCCAGCCACACATCATTTCTCCATCACAACTTGACATCCCTTCATCTTCATATGTGGGATTGTACCACTCCTTCAGATCTTCCACCCATTCTGTGTACCAACAGAAATGGTAAGCTTATCTCTATTGGTATGTACATCATTCATTTCACACATGACCAACCTACCTTACAACACCTCTCTTCTTTTCTTTTTCTTTTTTTCACTTGGTTCTTTGACCATTGCTTGTCTGTCTGCACTATAGCTGGATATTGAGCAGCTCTATCCACCACATTACATATTTCCCAATACCTCAATATTTTCTCTTCACCTGTTCTTACCACCCCCTTCCATTCATTCCTGCTGCATAGACTCCCACTCCCGTGCCTGACTGGGACTTGAATGTCATTCTTCATGCCCTCACTCAAAACCATTTGAACCTCTTGCCACTTGCTCTCTGTATCACCTCTCTCTCAAAACCCATTTTCTTCCCCTCCTTGCCCATAGTTATCAGTGATCCATTGCCTATGCCATAGACTCTTCCAAGATTCTTTTCTACAACTCATACCTTCTTCTATACCTTGACCATTCCTTTTTGCCTAAGACTTGAGCAGCTGGGGAAGGCGGTCACACTTTTTCTCCTATTTCCCTTCCCTTTATATCCCATCTTTATGGATGTTCTGACCTGGACAGACTTCTGTGTCCTGTTTGGCTGTTCAGTGGTATTTATCTAATACTTCCTCCTCTCGGGGTTCCATTCATAGTTATTCATTCCTTGGGATCCCTTCTGTACTAGAAACCTTTCTCCCTCCAGTGTTACTGGATGAATCTGCCAGCTCATCTGATTGGTTTACTCCTCCTTGGAAACGGGTAATTATAGGCTTTTTCACAACTCCTCCTAGCAGATAAGACACCTGATTCAATTTCGTTGACCACTAGAAGACATTCTTCAGGCAGGCAGGTGGACTAACTCGCATGCATTCATCACCTACTGTCTCCACCACTTGACTGTCTTGTCTTTGGAGGGATTCAGTTTTCCACCCACTGCCATCCTTCAATCCACCCTATCCTCTGATAGGTGAGTGTACTTCTTTATTTCTGCTCACCATTAATCTACATTAGGATCCCACTAGTCAGCTAATGTTGCCTCCCAGGATATAATACCCAAAATCCACATTGAGACAGAATAACAGAAAGCACTCATACCATCTGCACTTATTCTATAAGTGTCTACTATGAGGTGGGTTTTTCCACAAGACCATTGTATTACATTTCAAGTATGATCCAGACTGTACCCATTCCATGGAGTATCATGATAAAAGCCAACACCAGAGCTGTGCGTCTGCACACTTCTCTGGCTAGCACTTGTTGGCTTTCAAAAAAAGGTTTTGCAGTCACCCATTTCACTGTCTCCAATAAAAAAACCTTTCCTGACAGAGAGACTGATGATGATCCAGTCAAATTCTCTGCATGTTCCCTATGTGAATTCTCCCCCTTTTTGAGTAGAGCATGAGAGACCATTGCCACTTTCCAGCTCTCAACCACTGGGATGGTGGACCATGGGGAATCCTCACCGATTGAGATTTAACTGCTGGGGCTAGAACAAGAAGTCCCTTTGTGGTGAGTAAAACATGTAACTATATCAATCTGTATATGTATCTTTCTCTCTCAATTCCTGTTCCCACAGTTGCATGAACCCTGGGAATCTGACAGTGGAGTATATGACACTAATCCATATACAACTGTGATGTATCACTCACACACTCTACTCCCACAGCAGGCAACAGTCCCATAGAGACGGATGGTCAAGTATAGGTTATATAACTATCTGTAAGGACATGTTCAAATACAGTGCCCTCCTCCTGCAGTTGGCATGGGGCCCGTAGTGACTGATGGTTGAGGAGATGTGTATGGATAATTATCACAAGTGCACAGATACTTATCAGAAGTGCTCATCTAGGTAATCTTTGCATCAGTCCCTCCACCATCTCAATACTAGATTCTAGCTATCTGTGTATGGAGGTGAGTATTTATTTTGGAAGTTAACATTTTCATTAGCTGAAAATGTATTTCCAACCCATTCTCCCCACTTTTCTGGTGCACCTTTATTTATTGCCTCATCAAAGAATAAGGATTCTCGTACACAAATGTACAGGAAGGATTTGTTCAAGAAGATGTGCCACACCCCTATTGGTGGAAGGTTTTGCTGCATGGTATGCAATCAAGTATTTGCACAAATTCATGTGGACACATGTGAAATTAGGTAGGAGTTTTTATAAGGCTGGTTGCTTGCACGTCTCTCAGGCAGAAATGTGCAGCTTTAAGAAAAAAATAGCTACTAAGAAGGTGTCTATCAGAAATACACTTTTGGGTAAGGAAAGTTTCAACATTGCATAAACTAGAAAATGTTTTTTTGTTTTTTTATAATACTCAAAATAGAGAGCAATCTGTTTGGGTATTATTAGTAAAGTTTTGTCCACAGGAGGATATGTAGTTTTTACATTAAGTTAGTTAGCAAATTAGATGCTTGTGGAATTAGTGGAAAAGTTAAAATGCAAATCAAATTGGTTTTATGGTACCAAGGAAAAAGTTGTTAGACTTCACTGGGAATACTGCATACAAGTTTGGTTTTTAACACAGTGGAAAAGACTCAGAAGAAGGCTACTAGGATGATTCTAGGTATGTAAGAGTTATATTACAAAAATTGGTTAAGATCTCTTAATTTCTCATGAGAAAAGAAAGGTAAGAGGTAATCTTATTGAAGGTTACAAGATTGTCTGAGAGATTGATAGGATAAAGGCCTCAGATTTCTTTGTTTTATTTTCTGAAAGCAGTGTACAGTGTACTAGATGGCATAAGCTTAAGGCTTGGAAAAGACTGGCTTAAGTACAGTTAAGACAGTTCTATTGTTCTAAAAAGTTGATTGTATTATGGAATGAGTTGTCAGCAATAGTGGACCAGCATATTAAAGGAATTTAAGAGGGGGATTGAAGTTTCCTGAAAAATATAGGGTGAACTCAAATTTTTACAAATATTTACAAGGACAGCCTAGAAGAGCCAAATAATCCTTTGTTGTATGTATGGTATGTAAATGAGGATGTTTACAATTGAGAGAAGGTCACTAGCAGAGTTCTACTTGGGTCTGTTTTTGGAAACTCTGTTTTATTTTAAGAACATTATAAAAAGAATATTTGATTATGTGATGTTTGTAGATTCAGTCATTTAAAGTTGTGATGGAGAGTCGTTTAGTAGTAAAGAACTACAATTAATTTCATTTTTATGGATTGATTAATTGTTTGTGTGTATGAGATGTGACCTGAATGAGCTATATGGCTTTCTTTCACCTTGATTCTTATACTTTTTAATACTCAATTCTATGTTAGGGCAGATTTCATAATCTGATTCCTGGTACTTTAACTTCTGTCTCACTTCTGAGCTGAGTGAATAGTTTGCTCCTTCCAGCCAAAATAATTTACGTACATTATTGCATAATCAAATCATAGTGAACTTTGAATTAAAATAAATAAGAAAAGAAAGTGTTAAGGAGTTAAAGGAACTAGAAAATTTGATGAGCCATCAGACCATGCTATTTAATAAGAATAGAAAAGATTTCGCTGGAAGTTTAAGGGAGTTGTTAGTATAGGAAGTTTAAGAATGTTGTTTACATAGTAAGTTTAAGTGAAATTTTTAATTTCTGTGAACTATTTTAGGTGACCAAAACAACAAGAGAGAAAGTTCACATTTAATATAGAACAGTTTTCTTTATGCTAATTGTGAGGGAAATCCTATCTTTGTGGTATAATTGGTACAATCTTATCTATTGACACTTTAGAACACTTGGTAATTTATCACAAACAAAAATGCTTTTGAATTATTCTAAAGTGGTCTAAAAAGTAAGAAACAGTATTTGGTTGCTATATTCTGGGATTGCATTTACCTGTTTTTTTTTTATGTATAGTTGAGATAGGACAAGTTAACCACCTAAGAACTGTAATTGAATTTTACAGATTCTCATTAGCATAGCTAGATTAACAAAATTAAATAAAGGAACTTAATATGTCATTAATTGTAGAAAACAATGAAGATGACTTCAGAACTAATTCTAAATGGAAAGTTAGATATTCTAAAATGATTTTAATATCATAGATGTTGGGTACAAGGACGAACTGGTCCTTTGTCTGTAACGTAATGTTAGAGGTTTGTTTATAAATATGTTCCTGTGATTATTGACTTTTTTCATCTTCAGGCTGCTTATGGTCTAATGCATAATTAGCATTCCTGGACTGTGAATATAAGGGTTCATGGTTCACATTCCATTGTTGCAAAAATGTGCTCTGCACTGTGGGGCTATGGGTACACTGCAGAAGTAAAAGTCAAATCCCATTCTTCATCCAGACAAGAGTTGGAGATACCCTTTGTTGATTAACTACCTTCCCTGTAGTTTATCAGTTCAGAATGAGGGATGGCTATATGAAAATAGCCCTTATGTAGCTTTGCATCAAAATTCCCCCCCAAAAAAACCCTTTGATGTTTTTACACTAATTTCAATCCTGTTTATATATTTAATGATGTTAAGCCTACTTGTCTTTTGCAAGTTCAGTGTGCTATTTTATGAAATTTATCCTTTCTAATTTTTTTTCAGAGTTCAGTGTCAGTACTTAAAGAATTGTTCATTGTAAATTGAGTTAAATTTTTCTGATAACTAACAATGAAACAAAAAATATCTTAGAGATCTCAAGTTTTGTGTTATTTTTATGTAGTGTAATATTTCAACTTTTGAGATTTTTCCAAATCTTTAGATTACCATGGACTATGAAAAAAAGCTGGAATTTTTGCGTTCTTACATTCCTTTTCTTCAGAAGGTTATACATCATCTTCAGGTTGATATTGGTAATTATCTTTTAGTTTATTATTATGTTTTCTCTAAGTACTAGTGTTTGTTTTATTTTATAATTAATTTGTTACTGGAATCCATATATTGGTTGAATTAAACAAACAAGTACATGATTGTTTAAATAATCATGGTATTAAAACAGTGTGAGCTTGCATTATGAATCATATGTTAAAGTTCAAGTCTGTGTATTTTTAAAAATACATATATACAAATAAATCTTAAAAGTAAAGTTCCATTCCAGAAAGTCATGTATGTGACAAGTTATGGCCCTCCAATGAACAGTTGCAAGACTATGAGAAGCACTGTATATTTGAGGCATTAATGGAAATGTTTTAAGATGCTCCTTTACAGTTTCTTGCATTCTTTTGGAGTTACTAATCATTATGCAGGTATGAACCAATTCCAGGAGAATGTTGGTGTTGACCAAGTTTTCAGTTGTATACTCATTTCAGTAGACATATGCCCATGACTTTAAAACAATCAATCAAAGCATACATAAATTTTGTCCATGTTTATTTATGTATATCTAGTAACTTGAAGATAAGAATGTTCAAAATGGCAAGCCAGTCAAATGTCAATTGACTGGTTAAGTAACAATTCATTGCCTGCCCTCTGAAAATCATATTTTTGGTAGTTGCCTAACTTGGCTTGATGATGCCATTATATTTGTGTTATTACAAAATTATTTTTTATTTACTTTTAATTATTTTTTTAAGAAATAATTCTCTTAGAATATAATAATGTAGGCTTCTGGAAGTTCTGTTACACCACATTGGTTGGGAAAGTCCAGAAGCTTAACTGTGCGAAGAGCTGGGCAGCTGGTGGTAATTGCTAATCAAATAATCAGTAAGCCAATTAATCATTTAGTATACCTTTATACCTGAGAAGCAAAAAGAAAAAAATGGGTGTGAGCTGACTTTACAATTTTTTCAACCACAGCATCATTCTAACATGCTATTAATCTTTCCATTTTTTTTAACATTTGTTTGGTTATTTTTTAAGTAATTTTGGAATTATCCTTGATATCATATCATAGATTTTTTCTAAATGTCACCATTTGTGCATTTTGCAAAATACTTTTTTTTGTCTCCAAAAGGTAGTCTTGGACATATCTTACTTGGCAAATGAGTTGCTAATGTTGAATAAATACCATTACACGGCTGCCATCATGCTTGTTTTTAAGATATTTATAATCCCATGCTAAGTTTCTTAAAGTCAAATGAGTTGATAATAAAAGATATATTTTACTATTACTGATAAGGATAACAATCATTTTATTTAAAATGTATCATGATTGCAGTTAGAAATAATTAAGTAGCCAGTTAGTTACTTTGTTTATGTGCCTTGTTTGAATAAACATAAAAAATAATATTTAATAAAGATTTGAATCATCAGAATATTTTGTAGTCATCTACCATATTCATTAAACAGTAAACTTGTGTGATTTGATGATTTTATTTTACTTGGTGGATATAAAAAAATAACCCTTATGTTTACAAACAATGCAACTAAAATAAAACATTAGTACATCTGTTAAAAAGCAAAAAACACCACAATTTTCAACAAAGAACCAAACATCAACAATGTACATTTATTAAGCCTTAAACAATTTCTAATCATGTGACTTACTTGTCTTACTGTAATCTTTATATATATATACATATACACACACACCTGGAAAAAGTTAAGCACCCCCGTGTTTTTTCAAGTGATTCAGATTCGACGTTTTTGTGACTGATTATAAATTACCATTCAATCTAAACGTGTTTATCAAATGAAATTATGCATTATTGGGCACAAGAAAACAAGATTATCACCATAAAATAACAATTTTTAATTTACATATCATGACATCAAATATGGACAGTTTTCATGCTTAAAATTATCTTTAATAATTATTGTCAGTGAAAGCTCAAAAACGTTATTGAATTGTCAAATCACATTACAAAATGTCAATCATGACCC